CCCCAAAACCCCAAAACCCCAGGCAAGATAATAATAAATTTTGATTGTGAAACAATGTTTTATTCATGAAATCAAGATTTAAATTATATACAACAATTCTGCCCAGACCTTTATAACTAAACTTAGTTCACTTGATCTAGCTTGTTCTATATTTTAATTGCTTCGAAGTTTTAAGCTAATTTAATACTTTACTTGTTCATTCGCATTCTATGTTGAAATTTAATATTTTGGAGGGTTTAGATTTTCCCTTTTTACTTCCTTTCAATTTCTTCTTTGTTTTTAATTTGCATTTATCTTTTACTAGATTTGGCTATTGAAAATTTATTTTCAGCATTGCTTTTACTTTGTTTTAATCCATTGAAGAATCACAGTTTATAGAATTATTATCGACCTAAAAATCATTTTCTATTTGATTTTATACATTGCGTTTTCTTAGACCTTAAAAAATAGTTGGACAATTTTATTAATAATATTCTTCGCTACTTTTTCTTTTGATTTTGCCATCTTATATATTTTTCTTCTTGGTATGTTAAAGAGATTTTTTCCTGATTTATTTAAGGCTAGAACCCACCATTTAATCCTTTTTTCCTATGAATTATTCATAAGTTTCAAAATCAAATTCTTCTATGTTTTGTTAAGTTTGCTGTTGAAGCAACGACAAATCTATTTTGGAATTTTTAAATTCTAAAAGTTGAACCTAGGTGTTATTTTTCCAAGTTGACGATAAAAATTCATTCTATTCATTTATCTCTTTTTTATTTTTTTAAAATAACTTTTGCTTTAAATTTTTAAGCTTTTATGATAGAATATTGAAATTTATCTTCAGAGAAGTGATTGATTTAATCATCATTATGCTTATATTTCCAATCATGTTAATCAAAACTATTGCAATCATTTACCACCCCATGATATATTATCTATCAATATCTGATTCATAATCTGTTAATAGATACATAAAGTAAGATACACTTAGAATTGTTAGTTCATTAAAGATCTCTATTTAGTTTAATAACTTAGTATCTAATGGCTTAACACTAATGTAATAAATTAATATCAAAATGCTCGTCAATTAAAATGTTTGAATTTAAAAAAATGGATAATTTTAAAGAGTAACAGCTGCCATTGAAAATACTAATCTTCTGATCATGTAAATTACATTATAGAGAATAGTAATGTTCTTATCCTTATCATTTACTCATATCTAGTTATATATAGTACCAATCCTATCTTTAATGTTTTGATTCATTAATTTATGTCTGAAAATAAAAGCAATAAACCATACTGCAAATGGCAAAATTAACATTATTGCGAGTAAAAATTTTGAAAATATAGCTGCGAAAAAATCACTGGTAGTTTTATATTATACCTTTAATTTTAAAATTAATAATCTTACATTTTATAAATTTAGTCCAGCATTGATAGAAAATTCCATATAACCCTCCAAAAATGTTCTTATTATCATGTTAAAGAATAATTTTTTCGAAATTTGTTTTAAAAATTTGTCTATTCTAAATCAAAATATTAAGGAATATATCTTACAGAGAAAAGTAATTGGCCAATATCTTTAGGATTATACAAAGAAAAATCAAAGATACTATTCCTACAATATAAATGAACATACTTCCTAAATTAGAAACTGAATTTGTTGTATCGTAACTTATAAATATAGGAATGCTTTATTTAAAAGCCTATCTTGCATTAAAAGATATCCATTTGTTAAAAATTCTTATCTGAAGGAGAATCGCTGAATTCAAACACTTAACCTTCAATTTATGATGTTGGCAAAATGTCAAAACTTGATATCCCAATTATCAAGTTAAAGAAAAAAACAGCATTTGTAGGGAATTATAAATTGTAGAGGGGTAAATGAATAATCATTTAGAATACATTTATCATGCTCCACAAATATTGTAGAGAGGTTGCTCTATGAAAGTAATTCAAATATATGAAGACTTACTTACAATAATAAATTAACAGCAAAGATTCCATAAACAACTGAGCCTACTCCAGTTGAAACAGATCCACCAACCGCTTATAAAGCTTTTGTTGCAGCATCCTTAAACATTTATCGCGGTATCAAACGATTTGTCTCGTACAAGTATGAAATCGCTTGATTTGATGCACTGTCTCTAAAATAGTTATTTCCTTTGAAACCTATAGAAAGTTTATGTTGATCCTATAGTTTTCATTCTTTAATTAAATTTATATATTACCTTGGCCGACACTAACTTGGGTTCATTAAACAATAATTGAAGAGTTAGGCTTTTTTCTTTAAATTCTGTAATTTTCCAAGTGTAATTTAAGTCCTGACTTATTTTACCCTCACCATCTTTTATTCTAACTAGAAGTATTTTGTGATCAAAGGAATTATAATTCTTAGGAATAATTATCTCTGAACTGAACTAGATTGTTGCAGACCCTTCATTTGATATTTTTGAAATAAGAGCGATTAGAGTTTTAAATGATTTTTTAGAGTCTTTTATTTTATTTTAAGCAGCTTAAGAAAAACTCGAAGGGCTATTAGCAGAAGCATATTGATTATTAAGAATTACCGAAGTCTCAGTAGAATTCTCATTATCTGTTTCATTTGACGAACTTGTCGAATTTTAGATATTATCCTAAGCTTAATTTTCTTAAATATCTTAAGTTTATTATTATTGTTATTGTACCTTCTTTTCGATTTAAATATTGAAAGAATAAGTTTACTATTTTGGATTCGGGTTTATATCTTCTACTGTAACTGATATTTTATAAGTTCCAAATGAACTAGGAGATGTTTGTATTTTATAATTAGGATAAGATCCTGAAATGAATTTTGCAGCTTATCCCATATTTACCTAAATAATGCGAGATTCATCTCCATCCATATCCAATAATCCAGGAAAAACCAGATCCTAGGATTCTCCTGCAGATAATTTGATATTTTATAATGGTAGAGCATATTTTGGAGGATTGTTGTTTATTGCAATTAGTTTAAGGGGAATCGAGAGAACACTTTTAACTTAATCATTGATATTTTAAACTATACCTTGGATTTCCAAAACATAGTCAGGGTTGTAGGCCTCTTATTTATTTTCTAAGTTGACTTTTATTTTTCTTTAATTTATTTCAGATCCATTAATAAAAGTGGCATTACTATTAAATCCTTTTATTTGAAGAGAATATATTACTGGATATGAACAGTTTTCATTTTTAATGAACTCATCAAATTCAATCATATAGTCACCACTACCTATTCTATACTATATTTAATCCAATGAGAACTAACTCTATCCGTTCAATTTCAAAGGAATTAATTGATCAACGTGGCATAGATACAATAGAGTCACTTAAAATTGAACTATTTTGATTGATACACCAATAAAAGCTTTAACTTGAATAGTTATGAGAGTGTTATTTAATTGAGGATTTTTAGTTTAAATTTTAAACTATCTTAAAATGCTGTCAAATTGAATAACATCTAAATACGGGAAATTCTACTAGTTATTATAAGAAGCACTGTAGCTCATTGGACCACAACTTAAATTACTCATATCTGTAAATTCATTAAATTAAAGAACCATTTCTGATTGTGTTATATTATACTAAACTTGATCAGGTATACCGAAATTAGCTACAGATATCACGTTTTATGAGCATGAGAGGATCACAGATAGGGTAAAACTTGCTTCTTAAAAATTACCATTACCTATTTGACCTTTAACCTTTATCTAATACTCTCCTATATCGCTGATCTACATAGTTTGAATACTAAAGGTCTTAGCAATTGGATTAAACGTAATAAAATTAGGTATAGATTGAGTATCATTATATGCTGCTGTGTATGTAAACTAGGTACAATAAGATATAGAGGAGATCCAAGAATCAAATTAAATTATTTTTACTGGGTTACTTGTTATGTAGTCCTAATCCTAAATGGGTTAAGCAGTAATCTGTGATGATGGACATAAATTAGTAATTGTTAAACTCAAAGTTTCAGAGCTGGATACTGTTGAATGAGCAAACCCAGTAACAATGATTGAATATTATTAGGAGTCGTGCTATCAGATACTGAAATAGAGATTTAATTTGTATTAACAATATTAAACAGACCTACGATAGAAGTAAGAGTAGTATCTTAGTCAATCAGCTGATAAGACATTGGGCATTAATTGATCATGTCGTTTGTCCAAATAACATCTGTTATGTAATTATTAGTTCCATTACTTATGTCATATGTAAGAGCGGGCAAAGCAGATTTCGTAATGACAGCACTTCTACAATCTTTTATCACTGTTACAATTACTTTTTGAATAGCTTGTTTGTTATTCAGGTATCCTGTAATAAGGTATTAGTGAGTACCAATCAGATTTTTATTCTCTGTATAAATTCTAAGACTCCCTGTAGTTGAGTTAAAAAGGATTAAGTCATCGTTTACGCAATCAGAGGAAGAGATTTAATTCTTGCATGTGTATTAGGTAATAGTACCGCAATGAGGACTAAGATTAGATTTAATACTGTCAGAGAGGTTCAACCACTACTTATCATAAACAATGTAGTTTAGTGATATATCTGCAGATGATGTCAATTACTCAAACTAACAATCTATTTCCAATGTTACCAGAAAATTTTAAATCAAAACTATTGCTGGATAATCTTGGAGATGATTAATTACTTTTACTGAAAATGGCGAAGATATAAAATTAGCTTTATCACTTGTAAATATAGCAATACTATTGTTAGTTTAATGATAAGTGAAAATAGCTGGATCTAAAGGCTAATTTGAAGCATCTGTAACTTCTTGAGTAACTAATCCACAACTTATAGTGCTTGAAGATTGTGTTATAGAAGGCAATGTTAATCTTTTTACTGGGCTCTCATTTAGGTAAATAATTTAGTTGGCCACTAAATAAGACTAACTTAGAGTTACAGAATTGCAAGGATTAATAAACTATACATTAAAACTTGTAAATTATTATATAGAGCTGATAGCTGTTGTCCCTATAATTTTGAAATTTTTAACACCTATTGCTTAAGTATCGCTTGTTTCATAGCTAATAGTGCGAGTAGTAGTATCAAATTATACCCAAGATGGCTTTGCTGCATTATCGATAAGCAAAGTGTAACTGATTGGCCCACATCCTGGCTTAGATAAACTCCAATTTATAAAAGAAAAAGTTTATCTTGAACTACCTAATGAGTAAGTTTTATCAATTATATTTTAAGCTGTAATTACAACATTAGGACAATCTGTTTTGATAATAACAATGAAGTCTTAACGAACTGATTTATATGCTGTTCCTCCAATAATTCTCAAATTGTAGGTATTTATCTTTGATGAAATACTAGTTGAAACGTAAAAATAATAGCTAGAAATATAGAATATTGAGTCAGCTGTCTAATCATTAGCTTAATTTACAACTGAGTATGTAATACTTCCACAATATGACATCAAGTGAGTCCAACTTAATGTGAATTTATATTGAGCAGTCCCTAATTCAATGAAATAATCGTATGAAGCTAGAATTGCAGATGGTGTAATGATATCATTATTGCAATTGTGATTGATTTAAATGCTGAATTATTGAGTGGCAAAATACTATGTCTATGAATGTGTACCTTTTAATTCAAAGATAAATGTTCCAACGTCACTATTTAAAATATTAACTCAAAAGATTATTACCTTAATAAACTAGTTTAGATTTTTAAAATTTTCGTTGAACTAGTGATAGTGTAGAAATTTGAACTGGAAGTTGGGCTTATTTTTGTTAAAGTATAAGTTATAGTGCAAATAGTTGTATTGATGCTAAAAGCATTCAGAGTAAAACTTTATATTCCTGAATTTAAAGTATAAACTATATTTTATTGAGATGATGAAGATATTAATGCATATGAGCATGCATCTATTAAAGTTAGTTGAAATGAAACCTCAGCACTCTAATTATTGTTAATTTTACCTATCATTTTAATTTCGTATACCCCAGCATAACTCTTTGAATTTGTATAAACAGTATAAAATCTAGTGCTAGCTGAAAATTAAACAAAAGCTGATAATGCACTAACATCACTAGAATATTAAAAAACTACATCTGAGCAGGTCTACTAAAGAGTAAAAGCTGGAATTGTAAAAGTCATTGCTTCATTTCCTATTGCATACTATTAATCTGCTATGGTAGAAGTAATTATAGTCATGACTGATGGCGTAACTATTTGAGGAACAATAGATATGATAGCACTGGTGAATTACTTAGACACTTTGCCGATAGTATCTGTTATAGATTGAAAACTATTTGATAAAGTAGAGTAAGTCAAAGTTTCAGTAGACATTGATGAAGGAGTAGATAATGCATTAGTAATTGTTATTTCACTATATGATGGATCTGAATTCATTAGCCAACCAATATTTTGAGTAAAAGTTGTAGTTGTTGCTGCTTCATTTGTAAATGCTTTAATGGTCCCAACATAAATCACTTATGTTGAATCCATCCAACTATGGAAAATCTAGTTGTTTGCATCTGAAGTGTAGTAATTGACGTCTTTATAACGATATTGAGATGATGAAAAATCAGCTTCTCCAAGTTTAATCTAAGCATTATTTGCCCCAACTAGATATCTTATAGTCATGCAATTTTTTGCTGAAACTTAAATGCATTATGTATAACCATTTATTAATCTATAAAGATGGATTATTAGAAAATAAATCTCTTACGTTGATTAGCCTGGTGAGTCTAGAGTATAACCAGAATTTACATTTAGCTTCATGATCATTGCATCTTGACCATCTTCTGCACAAACTGCAAGACATTTAGTTCCGGCTGCAGTATCTTAAAAGTATTCTATTCTTTTTACAGAAAATTGTTAGGTTGCTGTGCTTTTTCTAAAATTTAAATTAATTTTTGAATTAATACCTAATAGTAAATATTTGCTTCGCATTTCCTGAAGTTTCTACAGTTACCACAGAAGTATAAAATGTGCCTCCACTATCTTTTAATATTCCTCCATAATAGTGATATGAATTACTTGTATCATAATCAACAGTATTTGCTTGAGTTTCACTCTAAGGCCATTTTTTGTAGAAATTGATTGCAACACTGTCAGGGTCAAACCTCATGATTTAAAAGTACTAAGTACCCTCAGGTTGCATTGCCAAGTACACTAATCCAGTTGATTTGTATTTTAAACAAGTAGCAGGAATAAAAGATTTTGTTAAGCTTGTTAAAGTATAAAATCCGAAAACTGTGCCTGTTGAAGTTAAAACCATGATATTAAATGGATCAGTAGAAGATGCTGTAGTTTGGAAGGAAAGTGCTATCCTTGTTGAAGAAGAATATCTGAAGGTTATATCAGAGACTGAAAAATAAGATAAAATGTTGAAAATCATTGTCCATTGAAAATCTCCACCATTACTTATGAATACTACCAAAGGCTTTTGTCCACTTAATTGAGAGACTTCATTGTCACTCGTTGATCCACCAATTATGGTATTTCCTTGAGTGTCCTAATCTACTACATTGAATTAAGTACTATCTAGATTTCCTCCTATTAATTTCGGGTATCTGATCGCACTGAAACATGCTTGTTGAAATATGATCTATAAAAAAAATGAAGATTTCAAAATAAGCGAAAATACTCCTGGAAATAAGGAAAATATTAAAACTTATAGTTCTCTTATCATGTATATTTATTAATAATAGTCAGTATGAATTATTTGGCCAGTTCGACTTTTTATACCAGAAAGTCGACTTTTAAATACTTATTAATTTCATTTAACTATATTTTCAATTAATATCACTTAATGGGGTTTTGGGGTTTTGGGGTTTTGGGG